TCATAATTTTTATCTGTAATGCGGAACCGAAAAGGTATTGTTTTTACAATTATGTGTTTTTATTCTTTATTTGTCAATATAGTTTCTAAGCCGCTGAACCGATGTCTTCATGTAGCAAGTCTATAGGAAACAAATCATACCTGAAAGGTTCTTATTATTAATCAAAATGAATGTTTACCACTTCCTCTCTTAAATAAAGAAAACGATTATTTAGATATTATTCAACTTAATACTACGGCGCGTTATAACTTTTTTTTAGATAGTTGAATTAGCTCCAAATATATATGGAAAATTCTATAGTTATAGACTATCGATATACGTTGACAAACCAAAAATATATTAAAACTAAGAATGGGTGGACATTTTTCGGTTTTTCACTTTTAAGAGTACAGTTTTGCGACTTCCTCCGCCCTATGCTTTATACACTCTATGCCCTAACTCTACTTTGCTACCTTTTTTGATAACCAAGATACTAAGTTCAAAAAATAATATTTTCAAGCGATTTTTTTCTACTGAAATGTATGAATTCTCGAAAAAATCTCTTGGTCATAATACTGGTTAGGTTCTTTTTTTCAAAACGCTAAGAAAATATATTTTATTACAATTTTTTGAGGACTTAAAAAATAAGAGACAACTTTTTAGGAAAAGTTTATGCTTGGAATAATCGAATATAATAATTAAGTATTCCAGTTTTGGAAGAAAGTAATTTTTGTTATTTATATTTAAACATTAGGGTCCTTAACTTAAGTGCGAGATGTTAAAGTATCATACAATTAAATATTATATTTGGTAAAATTATACAACTATCGCTCATCTGTATTACTAGTATAATTAATAGTATTGTGATTTAAATTCAATAAACGAATTTGCTAAAATCAAATTACTAGATTAGGTTAAAATCTCTTAATCTGATCCATAGTTTTACTTATGGTGACAATAAATAGAGTATTAAATACGCTAGGTACGAATAAATACTGGATAACGGACATAGGTTTACGTGTACCTAATTTTGTACAACTTAAGCGGCTATTTTTATTCTATCTTGTCATTAATTCTGTCTCGTGTGAACAAAAAACATTAAAATAAACTAATAAATAAATACATATATACTTATTAAATTGTATATAATTTATCTAAGTTAAGCTGATTTATTTTAAATAAACATGAATTCTTCACTTAAAACACATTTTTCTAAGTTATAAGTTGGTTAATGTATTTATTACATTATATTTTAATATATTTTTATATAATTTTATATAGATAGATTTTAAGATATATTTTGGTTATATTAATGTACTTAATTACCTAGGCATAATTTAAAATGATAATTACTTTTATGAATATTATGCTTTTTTTATTTTGTATAGCAATTAAAAGAAAGTTGATTCTAAGCTCATTAGAAAGAACTTGTCAAAAAAATACATTTTAATTAAAAAAATTATTTTAAGGGGCCTCTACACTAGCATTTATTAAGGCGCATTGTAAAGGCAATTTTTTGCTAAAATTTAACATTAGGCTATAATTTTTTTTCTTATAGTATTCTTATAGTCATAAGGCAATGACTGTGGCTCAATTTTAAAACTATTTGTTTAGTAATTAAGACTATTTTTTGGTAGTTAATTTATTCTTAGGGCTATTACAGCATCCTTGACAGCGATTTAAACATGATTGTTTTAATTTAAACATATTCACTTAGAACAGAAAAATATACCTTTCAAAGTTATTTTAGAGATAAAACACCTTTAAAAAAAAGATAGAAGACAAAATTTCCGAAGGCAAACCTTATTTGCGTTTTTCATCATCTTTAAAAATACTTTTTTTTAAATGTTTAAATATTTTTAACTTTTTTTTTTCTTATTGATATTTAAAAAAAAACATTTTCTCGGAATTTGTGTCCTTTATTATTTTTATTATAGGTATATTATCTTCAAAAACAATTTGAAAGGTACTTGATTACGATATTTTGCATTACGAGTAATGCGAGATACAGCATAAATATATTTTTACCATTGAAAATCATCGATGAGACGTCCTCTTAAAATGGACGAATATTTATTATAATTCTTGTTCTATCATATTATAGTAGATGCGCATTTAAGCTGAACTAAGCTCAGTGTTGCTTACTTATATAAAATCATCTATACAACCAAAAAAAATTAAAAAACTCTTAGAAAGAACCCGCGTGAAACGCATTAAAATTTTTCTTATCCGTTTGATATATACAAACTGTAAGGCAAACCATTCACAGAAGCACTTCCATAAATTGCATTTTATTAACGTTAAGTGGTCGGCACTCAACCGTAGCAAATTATCTACTGTCAGGATGAATATAAAGTAAAAGACACATTATCATATCAGGTAAATGAAAATTGAAACAATTGAAAACATTTCGATAACGACACGGCATATTGTGGACTTCATCTAATAATGTCATAAAATTCAATATTTTTAAATTCTAATTCTACTAGCAGTATAATTTAGAAGGTAGCAATTTGATTGAACATTACAAAAATTATGATTCCTATCGAAGCATAACAACATTTAGTTGAGAATCGAAGGTCTAAAACAAAATCTAAAAAACAGATAGTAAAAAACACGTGAAAACGGTAAGCTAAAAGTGTGATCAAGATATTAATCCAACCTGTATAAGATATTGTTTTTAAAGTTCCCAATTATTGTACAATTACATTTGAAATTATGTGTTTTATGCGGTGGAGTAATTGAAAGTTGTATTTTAATAAAAGGCTTAGTACATAAGACCCTGACCTAAATGATACCGAGGGATCATCAAGTTTAGTTTTTTTGTGGCAAATAACATTAAGTTAAAATAATTCCAACTTTGCTGATGGATGTCTAAATCAAAAAATAAATGTTAATTTCGTTTGCCTTCAAAATACATTACATTAATTAATTTCCACAATGTCAACTTGTTTTAGGTTTATCTGTATTAAAACTAGAACCATTATTTTCTAGCAAAGGTTTAATTTTAAAAAGGCTAGATGGAATGAGTTTTCCAAAACGCTAGATAAAATAAAACATGTTCAATACATTTTAACCAACTATGAATATTTTCTTAGAACTGTTCAAAAGATAGCAATGCAACTCTTACCTGGGGATGCAGATAAAATTATATCCCAGGATTAGGTCATTAGGACAATATTTAATAAAAGACTAGGAATAGAAGAAAGACCCATTCTTTTAAACAACCATACGGCTAGGAGAAAACCTCGATAAACATACAGCAAATGAGAAAAGAAAAAACTGGATAAAGACGATAGAGAAGCTATACATGGCTCTGAATAGTAGTAAGACTTGGAAGATACTAAAACACTTGAATAAAGACACAAGCAAAAGATCATTTTAACATCAACCTAAGTTGAATAGAACATACGCTTATAATAAATGATAATACAGGAAAAGAAAAAGTGACACTAAAATTACTAGAGTAATCTAAGGAGAAGAGGAAAATTTTAAGAACCCAATTACAATAGTTAAATTACAAAAGGCTATAAATGGTAGTGTTAGTAGAAGTATAAGAAGGCTGCTGGAGTAGAAGACATTTTGACTGTACAAATAAAGAAATTTGTACCAAAAACTAGGCATTTAATTTTGGCAAAGTTTTAAGGATCGGTCAAACAGACAGCGGCCTACCGCGGCGGACAAACGGATGGTTGTATTTTTTCCCAAAGTTCTCGGCGGACTGGAATAATTTTGTAAAATAAAAAAAATATAATAAATATTTAATATAGACAATACACTGGATTTTCCACACGTATCAGCACTTCTAGAATATTATTATTATCGAACATAATATATACAAACAATATGGATGACAACATATTGTACTTAATTTTAAAATTGTTTTCATTTTAAAATTGTGCACTGAAAATGATCGATGAAACGGAACGATTGATTGATCTAGTTGAAGAATGCGTTTGTTTGTATGATACGCGGCATCCACTGAAAAATGGACAGATTCGGCAAAAGACTGGTATCAACACTTCACAAAAATGTAAAATTTAATAACATTTTTCAGCCGAGTCTGCAACCACGAAAGAGCATTTTCATGTCTCGTTGAAGTACCAAATTAATTTAAAGTAGTGGTGGAATTATAGATAATCATAGATAGATATAGTATGATATATAGAATGATATAGTATATTAACAAGCAGTAACAAGCTAATATCTAAGGTAGCTAGTATATTAAAACATCAAGTTTCTGGCTAATATTTTAGTGTTTAAAATCTGGCTTAAAACAATTCATAAATAGATGACCTCTTAAATTATTGAATTCAATTTAGTTCAGTTCTAGTTTGAACGTTGAGAATACAGCATAGTCGGTGAAACTCCCCAAATTATTTTCTTTTTTGATTTAGTTCATGTACCCATTTTCTTTGTTTCGTCTTGCTTGACTCAAGGCAAGCAGAAGAAGCAATTCTTTGTCAGAAGAACTGCTAGACATTTTGTAAAATAAAATGAAAACAGAAAATGTGAGATAAAAAAGTGAAAAATAAAAAACAACCAGCAGTACACTCTTGGTTGTGGCAATTTTCACACTGGTTCGCTCAAACTTGTCCGCATTCTGTTTGACTATCCTAATCCGCAGCGGACCAGCGGACTAGTTGGACGGACATGTCCGCGCGGACAGTCGCTTTCTGTTTGACCGATCCTTAATGACTGCATTAAGATAGAAATAGTCCTAAAGATAAACTAAAAGCAAAAGTAGTAGTAATTCTTAAACCAGGAACAAAAGGTAATGGTGCCAGTAATCTTTGACCAGTAAATAGCTGCATCATTACTCCAGACTAAATTTCAATATGAAAATACTTTGCTGTATTGATTAATTTTTTGGTAATAGTAAATACGTACACTAATATTATCAAGTATCTAGACTGAGTAAGGCACATACTTTAATTATATCGACATTATTTTTTTTTAATAACAAACAAATTTACACTTCAGAAAGAAATTCATTTTTATTTTGCTAAAGTAGTAGTGTTGAGTTTATATACTAATAAACATACTAGCAAATACAAAAAATAAATTAAAAATATCATTTAAAAATATAAATTTTGGCGCCATATGCTAAAGGAAATAATTTTTTTATACTTTGTATTATTATTTATGCTTGTGCGATTTCTTTTTATGTTTATGCTTCTTTTTGTGTTTACTATGTTTATGATTTGATTTCTCAAGCGTCACTTCAGACTTCTCAACCCATTCATCATCAGATTGGCTTTCAGGAAGTGTGTAAGGTTGGACCAAGCTCTCAGTCTTATTATTTGGTAAAAATAATGGTTTGTACAAGGGTCCCGTTGTTTCATATGGTGTGTTTTTGGTTTCGTATTTGTTTTTCTGTTCAACCACATCATCTTGTTTGTTGTCAAATAATTCGTCAAAATTTAAATTTGCAAATATTCCTCTAGGTGGGAATAAAGTAAAATGTGTACTAGTTTCAGCGCTCGTTTTTGAAAACTCTTTAGTAATAGTTGAAGTTTTAGCATCATCACTTGTATTACTATCAAAACTTATTATCGGTTTATCAGTAGCAGATGATTGAGCTGGAAGATCTTCATCGTCACTGTTATCCAAAAATATATCTTTGAAAAAATCAACACTTGGTTTTTCTACAACTTCAGGGATGGTAACCTGAAAATGTTTAATTCAGTCACTGTTAAATGAAGACATTTTTACTAGGTAAACAATAATAATATATGCAAAATAACAATAAGTACCCACACTGGTATCCAGCTAAACTTATCAATATGGTACAACTGTGGAACTCCAGGACAAACAGTTGAGTAAAAATAATGAACGAGATATAATCTTCTTTTATGATCAATAGTAAACTAATGCAAGGAGATGTATTGTCACCAATTCTTTTTAACCTGCCGCTAGAGGAAAATCTTAACAAAAGAAATATTTTACTTGTCTTAACAGATGACAATGTAATTACTGAAAAATGATGAGGAGATTCAGAAAATCGTGATAGATCTGGTGAGGGCGAGAAAGAACATTTGCTCTAGTCAACAACAAAAAAACGAATGATGATGATATGAGGAGGCGGGGACCACACTAACCTCAATGCCCGACATTACCAATAAATGCTTTTGCCTACATTAGAATTAGTTACTTTTTTATTATATTATTTGAACGTATTTTAAAATGAGCTAACAAGCTTTTATGATTTAAAGGGTTTTTTTATGCTGAAGACAATGTCAACCATATGAAGGGCACAGGGGAAAAATGGTAGTTGTCACAATATGAAAACTTTAGAGTATAACAAAAACAAAATTTGTGAATTCCTCTACCTCTTACATAAGAACAAAAAAAATCACATTAAATGCTACTCTAACAATAAATGTAATTATTTAAACAATCTATTGACATAAGTAAAACAAATTATTGGCATAAATTGTAAAAAACTATTTGAAAAAAAAAATTTCATTATGTGACAACTACCGTTATATGAAGTGCCCTTCATATAATTTAGTCATAAAACATAAAATGATACAGTAACCATTTTATTTTAATATCTACATCTTATCCATTTGTATAAAAGCCCTTTCACACATATCAGATCCGGCTCCATTCCAATTAAAAAAGTGGTCACTGACAAAATTTCCGATCTGTCAAACTAGGATCGGATGCGTATGTACATAATTATAAAAAAAAAAAAGTTTAGTTCATATTTTTAAAAGGATTTGGAACGATCCCATACATGTGAAAAGACCTTAAATACACGTCTTAAGTGCATTCAAAGATACTTCAGTACATATTACTAAAGCCCCTCTCCCTAAATAAACAGGCTTATGTGAACAGGGGCACATTGTACAAAAATTAAATCCGACCCTGAGGAAGATGGGAAATTTTGCGTGACCATTTAAGTATAAATAATTAGGACTATTTAGGTGTATAACTTTATATTTTTTAAACTTTTTAGGAAAATTCTTTACTGTCTCTTGGTAGATTAAAAAATTTGTCACAATCTGCTTAAATTTTTTTTTAAACGTTATATGAATGCCCACAAAGTTTAACATCACGCCAAGATGTTCCACCATCAAAATAACTAGGTAACATAAAAACCGGTAATACCCAATTGGTTACAGCTTAAGTTCTAAACCCCCAAAAAGGTAGTTAAGGTAGGAGCAGACATTTCTTGCACAGCGCACAGAAATCAAGCTCAATACTAAGTTAAACGACCCACACCGCGGTCAAACAAGCTAACAAATTTTGTAAAAAATTAATCAAACCTTAATTTCTAAAACTATTTCCACCATACAACATAGTTTTACAAGTCTTTTAAAACCAATTTTTCAGATGTTAAGTAATATTTAAATATCTTATTATTTAACAATAACCATAATAAAACTCTTTTATACAATTAGATGTTGTAAAATATACTATGTTTTGCCATAATAAAACATACCACTACTGTAGAAGCATTAATTGTATTTTGACTAGGTTCCGTTTTTACATCACAAATTTCCAAAGATGCGGTGTCAGATACTTGACTTTCATAAAATATTGGATCGGGTTGTGCAAATGCCAAAGAACTAAATAAGCTACACTCTCCGTGCTTTTTTCCATTCTCTTCGTGATTTATTCTAAACATAAAAGTTAAAAAAATTTAATTAAATAATAAATGTAAATACATTTTATGATCATCATGTATTAATTTTTTCTTATCAATTTTATATATAAAGAGTCAATTTGTCAAACGTTCCAAGTGTCAAAGTATAAAAATTATAAAAACTTTATTTGTATTTTATTCATTACCGGAAACACTTAAACATATTTTTAAGTGTTAAATATGATTGTTTTTTTCACTATTTCTCACTTGAAAAATTTACAATTTTTTTCCAATAATGAATAAAATACAAATCAAATTATCAAAAGTTAAATTTTTATACTTCGGCACTTGGAACGTTTGACAAATTTACTATTTATATATAAAAGGGAGTCCCATATCTTTGTTCACAATAATTTTTGAAACTACTAAACAATTTTGGAATAAAAATCAAAAATTAAAAAAAAAAATAGCACCAAGTCATGAATTAGATTATAAGAGTAGATATAGCATTTACTCGACATTTATTTCTAGTTCAATTTCTGACATGGTATTATTTTTTAACCTTTTTCATTTTTGACTTTCATGTCTAAATTAAAACTTGCTTTTGTTTTACTCTGAAAGATTATGTACAAAATACAAAAAATCGAAATGGTTAAAAAATTAATTATTAGTATTAAACACAAACATACAATTGTTGCAATTGTATATTTCAACCCGGGTACATGGACAGCTGGTATACAATAATTTATAATTGTACAAATTAATTTTTTTTAAACATAATTAATATTGTGAATTATTATCATACATACACTGTAGTTTTTGGTACAGGAACATTAAACCGTTTACAAAGCAACTTATCAGGAATCCATGATTCACTTCTACGTGTCCAGAAGCCATACATTTTTTTGTCCGCTGCATCTTTAAGTTTTTGTAAAGCAGGATCTATAGTCCGTGTAACTGGAATAAGTGCATTTGTAGAATCGTCTGGTAAAACAGCTCTTGTAAACTTATCAGATATTATTTCTGACAATAAATTAGGAGTTTCTGTAAAATAAAGTATGGACATATAATTATTGTTTTGAAATTAAACTCTTTCATACAAATTTGACATCATGCAAAAATAATATCTAGTTATTTTATCAATCATTTATTGGAAAATAATTTTTCATTTAATAAAAATTAACAAACAGCGTTTTATAATATTAAGAGTTATTTATTTTTCTGAATACCACAATAATGATGATACAGTTTTTTAATTTGCTACTCCTACTTATGAGCTATAGGTGTAAGGTTAACAAACTATAATATATTTAATAAGCTTACAATGAAACATTGTACAAAAAATAATAACAATATTATTCTTGTTTTTCTTTAAAAGCTATAAACCCTAGAACTAAATTATTACTAACTACTACTATTGATCTACTATTCATCAAAGATAGAGAAAGCAATTAAAAATATCTTATGCATCTTACCTTTTTTAATAAATTCTTCTACAGATGGAGGTGGTTCACTCTTTTTTATTTCCCTTTGTCTAGTATTGACATTTGAGTTAAAATTACTTGAGGTACTAAAGAAATCAGCTGGACATTGTCCTAATATTCTTCCAGCCATTCCTTGTGGTCGCCACTCTAAAAGCAAAATTAAAAATAACTAAGTTTATAGAGGTAAAGTAAATCTAATATTTAAAGTAAAATTGTTCTTTTATATTCTATACATTGTTACATAAAATAAAAAAAAATAAAAAATTTTACTCTATTTATTTATTTTTTAGCAAACCACCAATTTACTAAAAGGTATTTTTTTTCTTCCCTATTATTTTTATAGTTCACAAAGCATATTAAAGTGTATAAAACTACAAGAAATAACCATTTTTTAAACATTTAGCGATATTTAACTCTTGATTACTCACACTTTAAATGGGGCTTATTATACCCCTAGTGATCAAATAACGATTCAGAAAGTAATACAAAATCAACTACATACCTGGAGGTATTTCTAAAGGAGATGGTAATTGATCAAATAATCCTTTTTGGATGCCATCCTCTAGAATAAAAGTTTCTAAACATTCAGAATCAACATGTCCTAATATGGAAATCTTTTTTGCATTTTTAGATTTTTTTTCTAAACTGAAATCATAATTTGTCATATCTTCAGTTGCATAAATATCATCATCGTCATCTTCGTATGCTCCAACACCAAATGCCTATATTCCATACAAATTATTTTTTTTTAATGTAAAGTAACTAAGTTAAGTTTAAATTAATGACAAAAAGTTATTACTTGTCCATGAATAGATTTTCCTCCAACGGTAAGTTTACTATATTTGTTATTTACTGTTGATTTTGAAGACACTTTTGCTTGTTTAAGCCCCTCATAACCAAGGCCAAATGTATCAACTTTTGGTTTGATAGATATAGATTCATATTCAAATGGCGATACTTTAATATTTCCCAACAATTCATTTACTTCATCATCGTCATCATCATAAGCTGTATTTGTACAAAATTTCATTCCAACATTTTCTAATTCCTTTTTTGCTCGTAATTTTTCTCTCTGTGTGACTTGTGGTCCTACTCCTTGGCCAGGTTTCCATCCCATACTTTTTAGTAATTCAACACCCCATGTGTCCCTGTAAACACAATTTCATTTTAAAACTATAAAAGAATGTGTAAATTAACTATGAACTACCAATTACCTTATTGGTTTTAATATTTCTCCTAAAACAGGTCTTCCTGGAATCGGACCAGAATTTGTTTCTGGAAGTTGACGTTTCCTTGAAGAATTATCACTATATTCAGCTTTAATTTTCAAACTAGATGGGTCAATTCCCATGTCTTTTTTGTCCTATAATGATAACTAAAATTTAGAAAACATATTTTTCAAAATTCAATTCATTATTTTATCTTACTTCTTCATCCATGAAATCATAAGCATTTTGAATTTTTAATGAGGCTTTAGAATCCCTAGAAGATTTAAAAGTACTCGGTGTCCACCCTTCGAGAGAGCCAACAGTATTATAAAACCCAGCAGAAAAACCACCAGTGAATGCTCCATGAAACCGTCGCCTTCCATTTTCATCCTTTACGAACTGTTGTTCAGCGTCTTTACGCTTAACAATCTCATCTGAAAAAAAATTATAATAAAGAAAGTGCTACTTATTTTTATATTTTAAAATGGAATATTATATAGTTAGGGAGGTTCTGGAGGAATACATCTGCAAAACAACAAAAACCCAACAGAGGTACAGATGGAGATGTTGAACAGATGTAGAAAAAAATCAGAACAGCAGTAGTCAATAGTGCCAATAATTGTTTAGGAATAATAAAAAAAAAGGAATGGTTTAATGATAGATGCAAAAAGAAGCAATAGAGGGAAGGAAACAGCTTACGAGAAAAAGCCATCAAGAACCCGAGTTAGATAAGCATAGAAAGATATAAAAACATTAATAAAGAAACCAGTAAGATACTAAGAAGTGTAAAAAGACTGTGTTGTTAAAAAAAAAAAAAATTGAGGAAATTGAAGAAAATAAAAATAACCCCAGAAGATTCTTCAGCAAGACCGCTAGCATTAAACAAGGACATAAACCACAGACTAGGATTTTAAGGAATGAATTAGGAGAGTTAGTGACAAAAGAGGAATCAATAGTAGAAGAATTAAAAACCATATTGAAAGCCTACTAAATAAAACACCACCAACATCCTTATCTGAAGAAATAAATATGCAATATAGTACAGCGGAAGCATACATTGAAACCCCGACAAAACGGGAAATTAATAACATCATAATGAACCAAAAAACCAACAAGTCACCTGGAGAAAACAACGTAGTAGCAGAATTACTAAAAAATGGAGGAGAATCGATTAAAAGTGAAATCTGGAAAATGATAAAGGTAATTTGGGAAAACAAAGTAATGCCAGGAGAGTGGAACACGGCAATATTATGCTTTGTATATAAAAAAGGGAACATACTAGACCCAAAAAATTACATAGGAATTTCCTTATTGGATATTTGTTATAAGATACTGTCGACGCTCCTTTTAAAAAGAATTATGCCGTACGTGGAAGACATCATAGGAAGATACCAATATGGTTTTATAAAGGAGAAATCCACTGTAGACCACATATTTACCTTATGACAAACAATGAAGATATACTATGAATTTGATAAAGGCCTATATATGGTATTTGTTAACTACAAACAAGCTTATGACAGTGTCATGAGTGAATAGACGAGAATTATGGAAAGCAACGATACATTAGAATCCCACAAAATATGTAAATTTAGTAAAAATGTGTAACGACAAGAAATTTCTTAAGGTATAGTTTCCTACAGAGATTATCATAGGCTTTTGAGGTCAGTTCAGGACTGCGACAGGGAGATGCTTTATCTCTGACTTTGTTTAACTTGGACCTCGATTAAGTTGTAGGAGAATCTTATGAAGACCAAAAAATGGAACTAATTGGTGAAAAAACTGTTTTAGCATATCGTTGTTGTCGCGAAAAAACCTCCTATGTGCCAAGTTTACGATTTTGAGGTTTTTGTATCCCTGGATACAGAAAAATATAAGCTATCATATGATAAAATCTCCAATGTGCTATCTCCATTGTAGAATAAATGAAAAATAAAACGTCCTATGTATTACCTACTATAAATCGTTTTACACGTTTAAGTGTTTCCTGAACAATTAAGTTTTAGCACGTAGGAGTTTTTTTCGGGGCAAAGCCGATTAGCTGATGACATAGTTTTTTTAACAAATACACGAGAAGAAGTTACTCACTCACTCTCTAAACTAAGTGAAGCCAGCAAAAACATGGGTTTATGTATCAACAAAGAAAAAACTAAACTTATGATACTATCTAGAAGAAATGCAGACCAATCTAACCTGAAAGTGGGAAGTATGAGTTTTGAAAAGGTGGATAATTTCAAATACCTGGGTGTTAATATAAACAATAGTAACAACATGCATAGGGAAATAAAAGAAACAATATCAAATGGAAATAAATGTTATTTTAGCATAAACAAGTTATTGAGATCGAAACTATTATCAAGAAAATCAAAAATTACTCTGTACACAAGCTATCTTAGATCGATAGTAACCTATGCAACCTATGCATGTGAGACTTGGTCCACGACAAAAGAAGACAATAGAAAACTTGCTATATGGAAAAGGAAAATCTTAAGAAATATATATAGACCGGTGTTCAATGACGGCCAAGGAGTATATGAAAAAAGACATAATGAAGAGCTGTATGGCCTATGGTGTATGGTTATATGGAAAAGCCAATATAATCACATATATAAGATGTAAACGTCTGCAATGGTTAGGACATATATGGAGAGCTAATGGAAATGTATTAAAGAATGTTCTAATGGGAAAAATAAATAAAAACACCGTAGAAAAGGATACGAGACTGATAGATGGAAATGCAACATTAGGCTGGACTTAGACAGAGACAAATGGAGAGGTTTACGAGTGGCAGTGCAGGTCCTTAATGGACTGTTAAGCTATCGAGAAGAGGAAAAAGAAGATAATATGTATTATAATATTCACCTTCCTGAATGGGATCAAGTAATGATCCATAAACAATATACTCATCTTCATCATCGTCTGAAGACATATTTGACAATTCACAAATCAAAATCGGATTAATTAAAATAATGTTTCTGACTCAATTGTTACACGCCACAACAATATTCTAAATAGGAAATACGCTTAAATCTACTGGTAGTGATAAAACTTTGTATTCAAGAATTAAGCCAAGATCTTAGTCCATGGTCAAAATGAATCTTGGTTATGTTATCATTAATTAGTGATATCCGTGACAAACGTGATAACCGGCGTAAAACTAAATTTGTATTTAATAATCCTTATTTCTTATAATAATATAAAGCTTACGTTTTCAGACATAATAACTACATTATGAAGCATTTAAAGTTTATATCTAGGACAGTTCTAGTGCGCAATGGGAATGTTGATGAAGCTTGTCGTATCTTAAACCGCATCATGGGCTCTGAAGGATTTCTGGATCAATATAGACGAACTCGTTATTATGAAAAACCCACTCAAATGAGAAGACGCGTCAACTTCGAAAAATGCAAAGCCATTTACAATGAAGACATGGATAGAAAAATAAAATTTGTTCTGCGCAAAAATCGACCAGAACCGTTTCCTGGATGTTACTAAACTAGTAATGTAATCAAAAATTCAATGAAAAATGTATAGTTTGAAATAATAGTTATGATACCAATAAAGATGTCTTGATATTATTTACCAACACTTGTTATATTTTGCATTTTATTAAACATTGACTATAAGCATAAGGCATAAGCATTACATATAATATGTAAAACCATGTTAAACTAATATTTTATTTTTGTTCTCTTTCAGTTACGCTACTTTAGGTAACCTAATTTTTAAAACATGTTTGGATACGTTTTAAAACATAAAAAAATGAGTAGTTGAATAGGCATTATCCATAGATTAAGATTTCTAATTTTTTGTAAGCATCCCCTTTCTTAAACAAGCACATTTTGTGTTAGCAGCGATAGGAACAGACGTCTGAAAAAAGGTGTCAAGTGACTCTTGTCCCTACTGACAAAAAGCTTCTTATATTTTAATCGTAAATGACACAACATTTCTGCATTGATTCGGTTGTACAGCCGAGCAAAATTGTTGTAATTAACAGGTAAGTCAATAATTAAAACTAACAAAAAGTAACTGGCTTCAGGCTTGCATCTCTTTGATATAGGTAATAGTCTAGTTAGGAAAATACAGGTAATAAAGAAACAAGGCTTCAACCCCACAAATTTAAAAATACACATAATTAAATAAATACATAATTATAAAAGTATTATGGATACCAATTGCCAAGAAACCATCTCACGGTGGTATTGTTTGGTCTAAAGGAATGTTAAGCTAAATGATAATTATGATCAACAAAAACCACAATTTCTGTTGTTTCTTTTAAAATAATTTGTTGCCATAGTTACCCATGTATCGTAATCAATAATATAATACAAATATTTATAGAATGAATAAAAAATAACAAATGTAACGAACAAACTGCAATATTCATAAAATTTTAGTAAAAAGCCAATCAACCATATTATGTAAATCAAGATTTATTTCTAGATGACAGTGTTCAATTATTTTCACTAACTCAGTTGAGTTGAATTTTAGTTAAAGAACCTAATAAAAATCTAAGTATTTATATTTTTTTATTAATAACGTAATAGTACTCATTTTTTTTTTAACTCTTAATATTTCGTTTACTATCCCTTTAATTTAATAATCGTCTGATGTGTTTCTTATTAAATTATTTACACAAATTTTCCTTCTTGAAGTTTTATGGAAAAATCATAGTTGTAGATATTACATTGTATATTTTAATGCAATGAGATATAAGTTAAGTAATAATTATTATCATTAATAATAAAAAAATATATTAGCCATGATCTTCAAATTCTTGTTCTTCATTCTTATTGGTACATTGTTACTGAAATAAAAATCCTAGTCACAGTTAAGATTTTGTATCTTATTTTTTGATGATACAAAAATAAAACTGAATAATAAAAAAATAAAAACATATGAGATGTTGTTTTGTATTTCGCCAATTTCTTCTTTGCCATATTCTGTAATTAATCATACAATAAATTATTAGAATCATAATTTAACATATTCAACAAATGAGCTCTTATGGATAAGAACATTTCCAAAATTGCAATTTTACATGAAAAACCAAGAAGGTTTCAAAAACAGGATATTAACAATTGGTTTAATAACTATTATTTTTTATTTATTAACCCTTGGGCACTTGCGCCACGGAATGTCGACGCACAGGTGCTTACCATTTTTTTAAAAATTAAATTATCCACAAATGTTTTAGTAATAATTCTTATACTGCCTATCTAGGTGTTCTAATATGAGAAGAAAGTAAAATTGCTTAGTTTTATGATGTTCAGAGAAACTAATCTAAACAAGCTACTGACATAAGCTATTTTTCACACCATTATCATTGCATAAACTATCAGGTCCGAGAAAATACAAAAAAAAAAAGTGATTTTTAAACTTATGTGCTTTCTAATAGGAGCCCCTTTACTTACATAATTAGAGATTTGATACATAACTTCTATTTATTCTTTTTTGTCTTCTGAATATAGAAATTCGGACAATGCCACTTTCTCTTCTACTTCACTATCATACATTTATCAGCAAATTCCCCATCCATATTAGATTCTTCTGCTGCAATATACTTCTCATTTGTCATTTTCATTCTAAATATTCAATGATGGAAATTTAATTTTAATAAATGTATAATACGGGGGGGGTCTGGGTTCAACCCCCCTAGAGCCAAGCAAAAAATTGTGAAAAAATGATATATTATAGGTATTTATTGTATAATTGTTACAATGTTTTTGTAAACCGTTTTCAAAAACGTTTGAACTCCCAGATTAAAATAGTCAAAATAAACAAAATGTATAAGTAAAAATTAAAACTATTTTTTGAAAGTATATAATTTAGAATTTACAATTTTATCAAAGATAAAAATATAAAATGCAATTTTGTACTTTTAAATTAAGGGACTATTCCAGAAATTTCGTTATTTTTTTAAATCGAACTATCGAGTTTTTTTTCGGAAAAATATTCCATCAAATCACCTAATTGGTGGGAAAAAAGTTGTTTATTATTTTAAAAACATCTGGTTAGGTAGTATTATTTTTTTACAACTCCCCCCCCCCCCAGAGCAAGATTAAATATACGCCACTGCAATTATGATAATTTCATCTTTGCCTTCTTGTTCAAGAGCTATTTATACGCAAGTTGATTAATATTCATAATACATATCACCACATGGTAAAATAAATTAAATGCATTTATTTTTAATAAGTAAACACTTTAATCACTTCTAATGTCAAATTATAAATCATTCATACCATAATATTTGTATATTAAAAATGTTTAAGAAGATTTGATATTTTCAACAAATTTTGTCTCTATGAAATTAAATGAAAAAAGAAAATTTCTGTTAATAAATAAATACAACTTAAGATAAAATTTATTTAGAGATGTACTAAACAATTTTTTTTTTTTACATTTTTCAAACTATGACATATTACTATTTATTTGTTTACACCTAAACAAACAAAATTCAAGGTTAGGTTATTAAACAAATTATGCAACCTAACTTGTATAATATACTCAGCGTATAGTAAATTTAAGTGACAAAGCATATAATGTATTGGATGGTTATTCCCATGGAAGGAACGGTGGGTAGGAATGTAGAATAAGAAAAAATTTCTAGAGAAGTGGGATTGAACACAAAAGGAAACCATGTCTGTGCAGAAGTCAAAACGAATACTCTCCTATGCAGACATGAGTACACAAGAGTAATATATTTTAGTTTCTACACAGGCATGCTCTTCGTGGAACATAGGATAGTATGCCGTATGGACATGATTGAACAAACAGACCTGATATCTAAATTACATTTTCCTATATTTGTGCATTTGCAGATGTTATAATGAGAAATTGTAACAATAATACTTCTTTTTCCATATCTGGAGAAGAATTACCCTGCACAGTAATATCTAACGATCATGTCGGTTTATTTGGTCATGACTCATGAGTATGGGTACCATACCACTACTCCATACTCCTGTAAAGGAGAAGCTAGGAATTAAGCAGAGCTAAGAGACAGGAGTAGAAGTAAAAACTCTAGTATCTCTTTGAATAAGATCTTTAACGTTCTACGCACAGTGACATTGAAGTGATAGTCAAATGACAGATGACTTAAGATAATAACCTAGACTTTAACAACAGTGACCTATTTAAAGAGCAAACTATTGGGCTATTAGGAATAGAATAAAAGGGCAAACAATTTCAGTAGACAAACATAATGTTGCACTTTTAAACATAAGACAAGTTGATCCCTTAATCCAATTGCAGAGAGTAGAGTTTAGACTGTGAAAAACAATAGTCATCAGGAAAATTTACTCGGAGATATATTTTAATATTGTCAGCAAATAAAAGAACTTTTGCAAATGAGAAGAACTTTATAATAGAGTTTACAGAAGTATAAGAAATAAAGGACCCGAGGATATATTTTGATTGATCGGAAAACATCAATAAACTGTCTACTAGCGGTGAGATGTGATCCAATCAAGAAGAGAAGTGGGTTGCCAACACCAAGAGATTTTAAGCATCAATAAGAACACTATGGTCAACTATGTTGAGGGCTTTTAAGAAGTCTGTAAATATGTAGTACATCCATTTTAAAACCACTTTCAAAGCTATCAAGAATGTAATAACTAATAAGAATATTATTCTCTAACATGGTCCTATTAAGCAGTAATCTTAGCTTTATACCTACGTCTTTAAATATGTTTTTCTTGCCATAGAAAATAATTATTTTTACTTTTATAAAATATTAGAAGTCAAATTACATTCTTATATAGACACAGCGTATATTAATGTTAAATTTAGAATCAAAAGTATAATCTTACTGAGGTTTTAGTGTTGAGTTTTCTTATTATTATAAGATACTGGGTTATACAAACAAAGCATTTGTTCGCAATGGACCAGGCCAGTTCAACATTTTTTGTTTCTTTGATGTATTGCTTTTTGAAAAATTCTCGATACTTCAATTTTTTCCCCATCATCATTTCGGATATAATGACCTAAACAAAGAAGTACAAATATAATTTTATTTTAGATAAACACTAAATAACAGAATACTAACCTTTCTGCAATTTTTAAATAAATTCCCTCGCAGTAGCATGTTGATCGTTATCATTACGATAAAAACCTGATGTGGCTGTTTTCAATAACATTCTTCAAAATAAAACTTGAGTATAAGTCTAACACTTTATTGATAAAAAAAACAAGAAGTGTAAAATATACCACGCAACCTAATACAAAATAATTTCTATTTATCATCCTCATTAAACTTAACGGGCCTTTAGGGCCCAACGCTGCCATCATGGGACGATAGTCATGAATTTCTATTTATATCAGCACAAATAAATAAAAAATAAATTACATACGTCGTTTGGATACATTTCTAAACTATTACTAAGAGCATATTATTCCAATTTATTTTAGAACACGAATTAACAATAGTGTAGGTACTATAAAAATAAAAAATTAAACCACAAATCAAAATATTATAACAACACCACTGCCAAAATAATAAATATTGACTATGGTGGTTGAATGCTTGTTGTGATAACTGCGATTACATAAAATAACACAGAGATATACACCGTTTACCAAGACAAAAAAATACACCTATGTCAGGAACTCGGGAAAACAGCAATATGACTACTTAAGTTCTCGGGCAGCCTTGTATTTCTTACGAGAAAAAAATATAAGCAACTGTATAACTTAATTATACACATTGCGGGCCTATGTATTTTACCATTGTGATTAAAGCAAGTTGTAATCGATTTGCAGTTTTCACAGATCTCTAACAGCTACTTGGGTTATCATATGATATTATTATTTATTTGTATTGATAACACAGATTCGATGAAATCTGGTAAAAATTATTTATATTCTGGTTTTAATTTTTATTTAATCTGTGTTGAGGTTGTCAACGTTTATAATATAAATGAATTATTTTTTGAATAAAAAAAAATTATTTCTGCATTACATAACAATTAATATTATATTGAATATTATGAAGATTTCTTGTGTGTAGGCTGTAACAAATTATGCGAACTCTGAATTGTTATGGTTGATGAGATGTCTCCGATACTCTTGTTATTCCGTTTTTGTGCTTGACCAGTGTAACATTTGATACATTTTCCTCTACCAGTCGATGTAAGTAGATTTAGTTTCACATTATACAGTGTCATATCTAGGCACAATATGCAAAAATATTTTCCCTGTGCCTAATTTTTCAACATATTTTATCGTAATCTATGTATAAATAATATCCTATAAATCTCAAATTCTTTTTTATACCTTAATTAATGTACTGCAAAGCAATTATGCTACATTTCACTTTCCCCTTCGGTATTTTTTAATATTAATCTTAGAGTCAAGTTGACCCTATTATTTATCGCTGTCTTGGATATTATAAAACTTTTTTATTTTTGTTAATTTTTGACATTTTCATGTCTTAGCTCTGGAACATAACCCTGGCAAATAACCGAAAAAAGCGTTACCAAAAGAGCGTAACGAAAAAAGCGTTACCAAAAAAGAAATGGGGTTGAAGATGAGGTTAGGGGTGAGAATGGGAATGGGGTTGGGGGTGAGAATTAGCCGGTACATAATCGAAAAAAAGTGTTACCAAAAAAGCGTTAAGCTGTCACGCGCCTCAAGGTAACAAAAACTACAAAGCGACGACGAAAGACCATTTCGGATCCATTTCGAATGTTAATCTGTTACGCTGTTATCTGATATGAGATAAGAGATATGTTGTACATTCAACGTTCAAATTAGGACTAAATAATAAATTCAAAATAGTTTAATTCTCTATGTTAATTTACTTTTGGCCAGAAACTTGATTGTACATAATTTTTTATCTCCTTGGCCTTATGCTGTAACTGGAAGCTCTATGTAATTTTTTTTTTTTTAATTATAATTCCACAACTTATCTAAATTTATACGGTACTTCAACGAGACATGAAAATGCTCTTTTGTGGTTGCAGACTCGACTGAAAAACTTTTTAACTATATTATTTAAATATCTAAATTAGGTTAATTTGAGAAGTTAATCAAGTGTTATAATTTGGGTTCAAATTTTGAAGGATTCGAGTAATTTAATTTTCAAAGTTTGAATAGTTGTAAAATTATATACATTTTGAATAAAATTGCAATTCTTACTTTAATTGGTGCAGAGGAGTGGGAAGAAATTTATTTTACTGAAAACCATTTTTTGCCAGATCAGTGTTCTTGACACTAATTTTGAATCTGAAGTCAGATATTGGGGGACTCTTCTAGTTAAAAAATTACAGCCACTTGAACTTTAAGAATATTGCTGCACGAGACGACCGCGGCCCCCCATGGTGGCAAGCTCTGGAAGCTGTCATGTTCCCTAGAAAAAAAAGTGACCACGAAGGGTGGGGGCATAGTCGCATCGACCATTAGCTGTTACCTTTATCTACCTCTACATTGTTTTATTTCATCGTTAGCATTTTAACTTAAGTAATTACCTACATTAGATATTTCTTATACCTGTACAAAAAAAACATTGTTGTGCTTAACTTTTTTGCTATTTTCAAATTCTTTTTTTTGTGTTTTACTGTTTTATCAATAAAAATAAATAAATTTGTTTGTTTTTAGTTTTGTACTATGGCGCTTCATAGAAAAAGTTCTTCTGGGTCTAAACCACAGCTAAAAGAAAAAGTTGTGCAAATATATGAATCATTTTTCAGAGTAAGTTAAAATAAATATTTTTTTATAAAGTTTATATCATGTAGCTTAAGCAGAGATCTCAAAGGGCCAACCCTGCCATCATAAAATGGTTATTTTGTAAAATTAGCATCCATGACAAGTTGTCAATCATTAGCTACTAAGTTTGAATATAATTTGTACAAATTTTAAGTGTTATAATTTATAACTGTCTTTCCAATAACAGGGTGAAGATATTGTAAAAGATAATGAAAACTTTTGGGATGAGTTTTTTCTACTTAAACCGAAAGTAAATCAAAATTAATTTTGTTGGTCTATGTTAAAATATTTGTTAATTTATATATTGTTTACTTTACATATTTTAGACTTCTTATATTGAATCAGAAATTGAGAAACTAACTATTGATCAACTTATTTTATTGCAAGACAATATGCGAATCCTGTTACTCAAGTGCATTGAAACATTTGAACAGGAACATCAACTACGAATAATATTTTCTTTAAAGGTAAATTTTTAAGTGTATTAGACTTCATATTAGTATTAAAAACAAAAATTTATGTATATAAATCATTATTTTCTTCCAGTTGTCAAACAACATTAGGCCTATGTACAAGAATAATTAGGTTAACATACATATTTCTATTGGTCGGGCGGGGTAAAACATTTTTCATTACAAATATCGTTTAATATTTACAGTATTGAAAAGTTCTATGAAAAACGTCTTATCTAACGTATTCATGTTTATTTTCCACTATCGTCAATATTGCTGTGCAAACTGTCAAAGTTGTTTGTTTATATACCTCACTCAACTTTATTTTTGATTACACATATATTTTGTTTTAATTGAAGTATGGCTAATTTTGAAAAATCAAACTTATTTCAAGACTTATTAAAAGATTTGGGTGTACTTCTAACAGAAGATTTTGAAATTAAATTTGTTCTTAATTAAATATAAATGATTGAATGCTAAAAGAAAAATTACACACATTATATATTTTTTATTTTCATTATAAAATTAAATAATTTGTAATTTTTATGATTTGTTTAATAAGTTGACCTCTATGTAAATAATTAACTTATAGTTCATGTTACAAGTATTTTGCTAAAGCAAAAGAAAAGACAACAAACTAGTTTGAATATATCATATTTATCTTTGATTAAAAATTACAATAAAATATAAGAAGAATAATTTTAGCTTCGGTGGGGAGCTGAGAAGGTATTGTTTTTACAATGATGTGTTTGTATTTTTATTATTTTTTTGTGGCTGGACCCACGATATCTCGTAAGCCGCTGAACCGATTTTTTTGTGTAGCAACTCTATAGATCAGAAATCATACCTGAAAGGTACTTTATCTGGCTAAAAAATTTTAAAAGGCAACCCTTCCCCATCAAAATCGAAAAAACACCCAAAAAATGTACACATTTTTCAACTTAAAATTACAGTGCTCTATAACTTTTTTAAAAATATTCGAAAAAGTTTCTAATTTATATGAATTGTTTTTCAAACATAGTACTATCGATAAACATTAACAAACCCCATAAATATCATAAACGCTTTCTCCTAGAAGGTATAGAATTTTTTTCTTTATTTCACTTTTTCAAGCAAAGTTATAGAGATTTAGATCTGAAAATTAAACCGAAGGTAGATCTAAAATGGAACTATAACATATACAATTTTCTCAAAAATCTGTAGTAAAATTTTTTTTTTATTAAGGAAAATCCTCAAAAATAGGGTAAATTTACACTTTGACCGTAGTCAGTTTCTAGGTTGCTATGTGTGAGTGAATCAACAGTCAACAGGTAACGAAAAGATTTTCATTATATTGTTAATTACGATATATGGGTAGCTATGACAATACATATGTTTATAGACAGACGATCAACCCTTATCATATCCACTCTGCACAAGACTAAATATTAAATTTTAAGTACATTATTGTTGGTCCCACGATATCTTCTACACCTATTTAACTGGTTTGAATATACCATCCACAGATTTGCATTGAAGTGTTTATTTAAAAGTGATTTTATCACTTTTAGTTATAATAAGATCTGTAGAACTGTGACCTCTCCGTTACCACTATGCCCCAACCCCACTGTACTGGCTTTTTTTAGTTTAATAGTAAAATGTAAAATTTGGATGGAGCTTGTATTGATAGGTAACCTATTTTATAATGTAAAATACATTTTTCTTTGTCAACAACCATCATACTATAAAACAATGTACTACGACAGCCAACAGGATAAATCATGGATATTTCAAATTTATATTGTAATTTAACTCGTTTCCTTACCTAGAGCCCGGTGAGGAGCGTATACCCTGCTGCCAACATTGACAACCGTCATGTTTTTACCCTGGATTATGAGTATTGAATAAACATGTAAAATATTTTATCACTTTTAGTTATAATAAGATCTGTAGACCTGTGACCTCTCCGTCCCCACTGTACTGGCTTTTTTTATTTATTGTTTATACATATGTATATGTATATTGTTTATTTTTGGTTACTTTTGAGTAGTAGTAGTCTTGATAATATATAAATAGTTGGATATGTTTTATTTTTATTTTAGACGTTGACAAGTATAATAAGCAGTTTTTATAAAAAATTCAGAATTAATCGAACTTTTGATTTTACATCTATTCTAGTCACGCCGAAAAACACAGATGTTGTTTTTGAAAATTTATTGACAAAATGCAATTTAATGTTATGTGGTAAATTAATTACTAATATGTCATCTATTATAATATAATATTGTGATATGATTTATCTGAATAATTTTAATGTAATCTGAATAATAATGTCAAATGTATGTAATTCTGTTTATAGAACCTAAATGTATTGTTGTTAAAGATTTGTGCCTACAGTTTTTACTAACTATTGTCACTGGAACAGATAATCTCAATGAAAACATAATAATTCGTCACTTAATGACGAGTAGTATTTTTGAACCTTTGATTGAAGTAAAAACGAAATATAATTATTTATTAAATATACATTATATAGTTACTATATTATGCATTTTATAGATAATGTCAAATAACATTTACCGAACATATCATGGTTACGACACAATATTGTTGTTAACATTATTAATGAATGTGGAAACTGATAAAAAAACTAATCCATATGTTGTCAAACTGTCATTGCTTGACAAAGAAGATGTTTTAAATGGTTATAGCCAGGTAAAAAATAATTTTTTCAATCGCACCATAAATATATTTAAAAACAAAATTATACTGACTATATTTGTAGATTATACGTTGGTCATTAAAAGAAATTTGTCGACAATATCGATCTGATGAAGTAGCACAACAGTCAAATAATACATGGTTTAATGCATTTACAAATGTAGTTAGTAATATGCTGTTCTTGCCAGAGAGTAATGAAGAACATACAATTGAAGTCCCCAAAGGAGTAAGGTATGATCATGATAATAATGTTATTTTTTTAATTGTTTTTATTAAGTTAAACATTTTAGATCAATGAGTGGAATACTTATTGCTTTATTCAAAGCTGTACATTGCAACCGTAACTTTATGACTACATTAACATATTGCCATATTTCTAACGGCTATGAAATGCATCCAAGCGTTATGCAGCAATCAGAGTCTGAGGCCATGGCTAACTTAGATCTCAAACCGCCAACAGATAATCAATTTTCCAATCTTCTAGTCACCTTCTTTCAATATTGGTAAGTTATTAAAATAATGTTTTACCTTTCTTAGTTGATTTATTTTTTATTTCTGATTACTAGCTCGATTGTAATGCAAGATACAAAGACTGAAGCTAACGCAAACAATTCATTGTTATGTTTTATAATATTATCGAGCATTACTGATGACCAGTTTGCTAACTCTTTAATGCATGATGTCAACTTACAGTTCAAAGTTGATTTATACCGATCGTCTAATAGACGATATATGTTTGTACCCGATAAGTCATCAAAACCATTAGCAGCTGCACTTTTAGGTACTTAAATAATTAAGAAATTGTAAGCTTTATTTATGTTAAATATTAATTCTAGATTTGATGATTGAATTTATGCTGGGACACATGATGAAAAAGTTACCTCTCGAACAGTACATGAAATGTATAAGCATTATTCATCGTCTAATCTGCTATCAAAAACGAAACAGTGTGCGTTTAAGCTACAATTGGAAAGATTTGTGGAGTTCTCTAATTATGTTACTGAAATTTTTAATGACTTATGAACATCAGCTTTCTCAAGAGATGAATATTTTTGATTTAGGAATTCAGGTATAAAATAATTTTTAACAAAATGTTTACATTATTATTACATATACTATTGCCATCTGTAAAAAACAAATTAGATATAGGCGTATATACGGATGTATGTTGTATTTACAGATTGTTAATATATTTAACTTATTCATTACATATGGTGATATGTTGCTACCATCACCGAGCAGTTATGATGAATTATACTATGAAATCATTAGAATGCATACGGTATTTGATAACATTTATGTACTGTGTAAGTGTTTAATATGTATCTATAAAATAATCACTATTTTAATTAAAATAATGATAAAACAATCCTTAATGTAGCATCAAGAAACTCATCAACGTTAGGTGAACACAAAACATCTGCTACAAAATTAGCCAACTCTTTAATAAATATCAGGTTAATATAAGTTAATTGTTACATATAAAATTAATAATTAAAAAATAACTTTATATTTATTTCTTTAACAGAGCCATCATCAACCACTACATACCGAAAATTGATAATTGGCTTGAGAAAAATTCAGTTAGAACACCAGTTGGTGAAGATGTGAGTAAACATCATACAAGTGTATATACTTTAAACAAGTCATTTATAGTGTAGTAAATTTAGTCAAAATTAATATCTGTGGTCGCTAAAAGAGTAGTAAATATTAAATTTTATATTAATTTACCATAAAGAAACTACTATTATATTATCCTAATTCACATTTCAATCTCTATCAAAAAAAATTATTTTTCTTAAAATTTATGAGAAAATTTTATGTACACCTGGTAAAATAATATTATGTTTTGCTATATAAACCTGCTAGATTTTAGAAGTGGTCCGAAATAATTATGATACATTAACACTGAAACTGCTTGATTGTTTGGGAAGTGTTGATTCCAACAAATCAACTCATGATCTATCAAGTGTTATGCTTATCAAGCTAATGGTGAGTACTATCATTGAGTACATATATTGTAGTATACAATATATACTCAATGGTACTATTAATAAAAAATTGAAAACATATCATTTATATTCATTTTTTTCTCCAGACGAGTAAAGTTATTAAAGATACTCGTCAGTCATTGAAACACACAAACATGGATTTACAACAAGTCTTGCAAAATTTCACATTGTACACTAACTAGATTATTAAGTACATTCAATAATAACAGTATTATGCCATGTTTTAAAAACTATTTTAATGTGATCAAACGTAGTTTTTAATATAACTAAGGATTGTGCTATTGTTTTAGTCAATAAAATTCTAAATGGGAATAATATTAATTTATTTAATAAATTTAAATAAATATTATTATAGCATGGTATTTTATTTAACTATTTTTTTATTTTCACTTACATGTTTTAATAGTTGTATAGTTTTATCTTATTCACAGCTTATTTAAATTATATTTTATATAATATATTGATTATTGATTATCATTTATGTGTGTACTATGTAAATGATTATTTGTGTTACATACCAAAGACTCATGATTCTACTTAGTATTTAATGCTGTTTACAATTATTATTAAAAAATTATAACATAGATAATAAATTTAATGGTGAACTTTCAAGGGATAAGGCATATTAATAAAACTTAAATAAATTGAAACCTTCTTTAATAATATGACAGAAAGTACCAATATGAAATCTTTAATAAAATGTCATAACTATTATTTTATTTTAAATAATTTACTGTTGACAACATAACCTATACAATTTTTATTGCTAAAAGCACTATATCAAAAAATAAATATTAAGACATTTATGAAAATTAAAAAAATTGTAATAATTTTTTAACTTCACTTTAAAATTAATCATCTTCCACAACAGGATTGACCATCTTACCTATACCAACTATTTCACTCTCAATTACGTCGCCTACCTAAAAAAAATTATACAATTTATATTCTTTATTTTATATAGCATCAAGTTACTTATTAAAAACATGCAAGTCTCATAAAGATTTGACGTTTTTAAATGAGGATAAGACCTACAAAGTCAAAACCTTTGTCAACACCTTGAATATATATTTAAATAGCAATAAAATATTATGCATACTTTTAAAAATTCTTTTGGTTCTCGGAAAACCCCAACTCCGCTTGGTGTGCCTGTGAGAATTACATCTCCTGGTAATAGTGTTATTAAACTAAAAGCCATAAAAGATACATACATGCATAAGTAGTTTTACTACACAATTATGAGTAATTACTAACTTGGACAAAAAGGAAACCAAAGCATCCACTCGATGAATAAGTTCTTTAGTTGAGCCACTCTGCTTGGACACTCCATTGACAGCACATTTAATAGGTAAAGAGTGAGGATCAGAAATTTCACTTTTGTGCACTAATGCTGATCCCAAAGGACAAAATGTGTCCATACTCTTTGCTATTTATTTGATTAGTACTTTAACTATGAATATATGTTTTTAAAATTTTAAAACTATACCAATTAACCATTGTCCGTTATTTCTAGTTTTTTGCCAGTCCCTCGCAGAAATATCTTGTGCAACTGTATAGCCGAATATAAAGTTGTATGCATCTCGAACATCTACTTTTCTACATTTCTTTCCGATAACTACAGCCATTTCTACTTCCCAGTCAATAGCCTAAATAAAAAGGTATAAATAAATACTAGTAAAGACAAGTTTTTAAATCTCAAAAGAAGTGATGGATATTGGGCAGAATAAGGGCAAGACTAGGTTGGTTACCTTAACTCCTAACCAAATGTTATCTACTATCTTGAAAGATTTTATATTACTCCCCTATAAAATGATAGGAGGGGAGTAAACCAATAAACTGAATTTGTTTAATTGTAGTTACAGATTGGAGCAGCACAAAATGTATAATTTCTGTTTTCTTATTAGAGCTGGGTCTGATAGTCAGATATCAAAGTCGTGAAAATATGTATACATTTCTCCGACATAAACTAAGATTATAATTAAAAAAATGTAATCATAAAAGAAATGTGGGGAATCTATGAGGAGAAAGTACAAAAACCCCTTTAAAAGCCTTTATTACAAAAATGCCTGTAGAAGGTTGTCTTGAATATTGTAAAAATGTTGTCAATATTTCTTTATACCTAATTCATAGTATTATAAAAAAAAAGTACCAATTCCAGAAACTTATACTCACTTTAAGATTTGTAATAAACATTTTTTTTATTAAACTAACAGTTAAAGAAATATTTAAAAAATACTAGACAACCGCTATTTATAGAAAAATTAAAATAACGTAATTTCAAATCGACATAATGACTCAGGGTAACAATGTGCGATTGACTAAAAAAATTGTATTTTTGATACATTTGTGGGCAAGACCGATAAATTTTTTTAGTTTGAAAAATTAGGAGTACCATTTATTATATAAATACATATTATAATTAAGAATTAAGATATAAATATTACTTTTGATATAGAAGAATGTTTTACTGAATCATATGGTCCAATAATAGTACTTGGGAATTTTGAAAAAAAGAAAGGTTCTACTGGGTATGGTTTGTTTTGTTCATCGCAATGACCTTTGTAGTTTAGACCCACACATATAACCTGCAATTTCAAATGTCTTGACATAAAAATCACATCAAATAAGAATAGTATTTTTTCTAATACTTTATCTGGATTGGTTATGCAAGGCAAAAACTCTATTTGATTTGCTGGAAAAACAACTTTTTTCTCATTTACTAATCTTAAACAAATTATAATGCATGCAATTATATAGAAATAATGTCTTATTAAATACTATAGTCAACTCATCTCACTTTTGTATATTCCCGATTGAATAATCACTATTCAAAAAGGATACCATATCCGTTGGAATCGACGGATCTGCGCCACTAAGACTCACTACAGGACCATCAATTTGCAACTGTACACCCAAGCCACGATCGCCACCAATTTTAAATTGGATAAATCTCATAGCTAAATTTCTAGTACTACTCAAGTGTCTAATACCAATATTTCGATTGACGTGTAAACCGATTCTCAACACACTGAACACTTTTTGACTGTAATTACTCATAGTAGTTATAACAGCAAACGCTAATTAATTTTTTTCAGAATAAATCTAAAGCTTATAATACATACAATCTAGAATTTGAACTGGGGGAAATAATAATAATAATCTTGCAATTTACAAATTAGTACATATTAATATAATATTATATTAACATTTAATATGTACATTATTATCACTAATTAAGATAAGATATCTTATCTTTTTCGTGAGGTAGCCCCATGGTTTATAGATTATATATAATCTATAAACCTTGAAGTAGCCCGACTATAGAAAAAAGACTTTTGATAATTTCAGTTCCCTGATGTTTCTGGTCACATTCATAATTAAATATTTAATCATCGTCACACTGACTCAGGAAAATCATGATATTCTGTGCCTAGGTCCTAGGTCTCCTTTCTGGTTATTATTATTGGTCCTAGAAATCCAGATTACACTTATCAGTTGTCATTTAATCTTGCTATCATATTTCGATGGTGACGCGACAAAAGGGTCTAAGCAACATTTCATAGTTTTCAGGATGATGGCCGCTAAACGTTCTTTTTGTGATTTTACTATTTTTTTTTTTAAGTTCCCAATAACTTTTTTTGAACAAAGTTCCTTATCGCGAGTTAGCGAGGGGATCTAGCAGAAAAAAAATGTAACGCGTTATGTAACCCAACAGAAAAAGTACTGTATTTTTATTTTGGCTGTTCTGGATAATTAAAAAATGTCGTTTACGACCTTTTGCCTTTTAAGCGACTATATATATTACATTTAAATGGGATATACAATGGATATAACTATAGAAAATGGTAAAATGTTATTTTATATTTTTTTAAGTACCACCATTGCTAAAACCTTTTCTCATAAACAATAATATATTTTTACTTAATAATAAAAACGAATAACAAAAATACGAAGTAAAACTTAGGTACTACAAAAGTAAGTTTTACTTAGTAAAACAAAGGGTGTGTTTAATTAATTACTTGCTTCCGTGACATACACAGTGAATAATAAAGATTTCTAAAATAAATACTCTAAATTTAATATTAATTATTTATAATTTTTAATATTTGGGTATTTTGAACTAGCAAGTAGCAACCAACGTCAAAACATATAGTTTTATATATATTATTAATACATTATTTTCTAGTAATCACTAAAAATAATTTAGAATATATATATATCGAATTATATATGAATATTTAAAAGTAATTATACATAATAATTTATGATAGGGGTTTTGTTCAAAATGTAGGTAATTTGTATGAGAAAAAAAAATTGTTTACCTGAAAAAAAATTTATAAAAAGTATTTTTTAATTCAGATGCATTATACTTTTATAAATTTGTTAATAACAATTGTTTAACCCACAAAAAGGGGTTTAATTAAATTAATTTAACCTTTTTCATATAATAATGAGTTACTTAGCCACTTCATAAATCAAATTACTGAATCATAAATGGGTTTGTGTGCAATAGAGCAATATAACCCAAAACTACTTGGCTAACGTATTAGATTAATGTTTATTTATTTTAAATATATTTTTATAAAAATTTAAAAATCATTTATTCTTTTAGTACTATTCAAAAGTAAGAAAACTAAAGGTTTTAAACTTTAAAACGTCATATAATATAAATTACCTAACAATATATTATGTATGTAAATAATATTATATACAATTTTTATTTACATAGTTTATTTTAGAAGTTATATTTTTTGGGACAAACATTTTTGGAATACTTAATCCAACGTTTATTTACTTATGTTCTAATTATCTTTTTCTCGAAAATGTTTAACTTTCATGAACAAATGTTCCACATTACTGTTATGCCATGTCACTTTACTTCCGCAAAACATTTGTTCCAAATAACAATTATTCCATGTATCTTATCTCCCAATAAACTTTTGTTCCACAAAACATTTGGAGCAAATGTTCATCGGAAGAAAAAATTTGTGGAACAATTATTACCCACCACCCTAAGCCGTGTCGCTTAGACCCTTTTGCCGTGTCACCATCGATTTGTTATCGCCTATCGGTACGTCTTCATAAAGTTATTTAACTTGGTTTTATGAATTAAAAGTTTAACTTTTATTATAATTTATAAATCATTCAAGGATAAAATTAGTACCAATATAAATGTCAAAGCAAAAAATACGTTATAAAATGACTATAAAAATATGATTTTCTAAATGTTCTATTTATCAACTTAAATACACCAATGCTTTAATTATTCATATCCTTTTTTTAATTAAAATACCAAGGCACAAGTACTTAACAAATAAATAAACACCCTATATTCGCCATAAAAATTGTAGATAATGATCTCCAAATAAATGGAAACTAATATTTTTTTTATTTTTGGATTGACGGCTTTGGTATTAAATGTTAATGACGCTTCATGTAAATGATTCACATTCTTTATTTAAGCAACATAATCAAGATTAAAAAAATTTAAATAATATACTTTGGTTATTTCTTTTTTTTTCAAAGGAAATGATTTATATTACAATAATAGTACACACTGCACACGTCACACAATAAGAAAATAGATAGGTTGGGTGACACTTAAAAACACTCAAACATTGTTGAAAGTCATTATTTTGTTTATTTTATTATAAATCAATTGTTTTTCATATATTCGAGCACAGCCAAACTATAATTGATATCACTACTTAGTCTATTCCAAGCAGCACACCCACGATTGACTGCTCTCTTAAGATAGTCTAGTGTTTTTTCGTCCTTTAATAATGCTACTGCTCGACCATTATGCTTGATAAAAACTCCAAGATAAGACTGGGCCAATTCAAAGTTGCTGCCTTCATGTAATGAAGTGACATTATCCAGCATAGTTAAAAACGCTGTTAATAAATTACCAGAACCCCCTGCCTCAGGATTTAAAGAACGTACTTCATAATTCACTGCTGATGGTCCCATATTTTTAAGAACGCTAAAGAGTGCGACATAATCTTCTGGTGTCTGAGCTTTGAGTAAATCGTTAGCAAATACAGTGTGTGACAGAAATTCTATCCTAGCTGAAGCCGTTCCAGAACCATCTTTTTTAGGGGCTGCTGCTTCTAAATCAAAACGAAGTTCCTGGTCATTTAATGAAGGAACAGTGGGTAAGAAAAATGGAGCTGCTTCAGGTTTTAATGCAGGCATTTTTGGTTTGTTTCTTTTTTTTATTGTGTCCAAATCTATTAAGGGCATCCAACGCGAATCAGCTAAGCCACTAGTTGTAATTAAACCAGACTCTAGTTGATTAATTTGTTGTTGCTTATTTTCTTCATCACTAACAGGGCAATCGGTAATATTATGTTTACTTCCTCCGGTGAGAGGCAACTGAACAATCACAACATCTTCATTGTCGTTAATAGGCCGTAAACTAAGATGTGAGTATGCTGAGCGGACAGCCCACAAGTGCACACCGAGGTGATCCACATGAGCTGTTGCCAAGTGTGTTCCAGTTGGTGAGAAAGACAATGAAACACAAGGTGTATCTACCTATTTAAAAAAGATTTTAAATTATAAAAAATATGTTAGTATTATAAAAAAAAAAAGAGTACTTTTGTTTAAATGTGGACAGTAGAAATAATAACATAGGTGTCATTATTACCTTAAGTATATCGACTGTACACGCTGATGGTATGTCCCATGTGCGTATAGTAGAGTCCATGGAAGCCGTTGTTAACCACCGTGAGTCAGGACTGAATGCTGCATCCGTCATTGGACCACGATGACCTGAAAATTTTCTGACTACTGCACGCTGGTCTGTATCCACCAAGCATACCATATAATTATCAAGTGCTACAGCAAGAAAAGCATTATCTGTATCAGGCCAAACAAAAAACGAGACAGCATCATCTATATTCAACTTTGACAATGATTCTGTAAATAAAAAATCATATCACAAAAATTAAATAATTAATTTTTAATACTATAAAAAGATGGAAAAGGGAAATGATACTGCAATTCTTAATCCATTAATTTTTAACAAAAAAAAAAAACGTTTATTAAAATGATAATAATAAAGCATTAATAGATGTATTTTTAACAATAATGCGTTTCTTTTTATTATTTTTAACTTTTTTTGACAGGTGAAGAATTTACAGCAAGCCTAATAATAAAATGAATGATCTTTTATACTTACTGGTAGTTTTAAAATTCCAGAAACGCAAATAATTCTCTGTTCCACCAGTGATTGTTATTTGATTAAGAGGATCGACATAAACAGCTCGAACACATTTGTGTGTTAAAGGATCACTATATGTACCACGGTGAATTCCAGACTGAACATTATACTTATCAACATGCCCAGTTGAATATCCAATAACAACAAAATTGCCACACCGAGTTAGACATGCACAAGTAGCACTCACACCAACTTTTGCTTTCTTTTGATATCGTGTTGGGTGAGACAAAAATCTATCAGACATACAGCCCCCATGTATAGACCAAGTAGTAGCTACAGGAGTACCCTCATGAACAGCCACTACACCAGCACCAAATTCTTTATCTCTAGCTGGTTCAGCTGTGAACCATGATATTGGTGGCATGGTTAACGGATCTGGCCATTTTGTGCCACGCTTTTTTGATAATTTTCTATTATAAGATGCTCGTCCTAAGCTGCGATTTGCTATTTCTGTTACAGTACAGAATGAGTGTAAAGTTGAGTCACCACCAGCGCTCAATATTTGATCACCATCACCATAGTAACGTATTCTTGTTGGAGGCTTCCAATGACCTGATCGCACCTTATGTAATGTAATGTCGCTATTGTCAAATCGCCACATCTTTAGGGAATTATCTATAGAAGACGTGACAACAAGTAATTCGTCTGGCAATGATTTTAGGCCAGAGATTGGACCGTGGTGTGCTTTAACCAATAAATTATCCACCTGGCCTTCTTCTAAATTCCATGAGACTAGGGTACCACTTGAGCTCCCAACAACCATCAACTGTTTACTTATAATAAATGCAATACCTGTGACAGCACCCCATTCTTGTGTATACACTGTTTTTGTAACATCAAATTTTAAATTGTGCAAAATTATTCGACCATCGTGCAAACCTACTGCGATAATGTCTTCAGCTGGGGCCGGTTCCAAAGAAGTGATATGAACACCAGGCCAACCAGTAAACTCATGAACTAAAGCACCAGTTTTTATGTTCCATAACTGCATTCGGCCATCATCTGATCCCAAAAGTATTTTATTTGGGTAGGTAGGTGGATGACATATTGTTGTCGCATTAATATTTAATTTCCACTCAGTGTATATTGTTTCTGCTTTGATATCCCAAACCCGCACACCATTAGAGTCATTAACAGTTACCAAGTGTGCAGCAAAAGGTAATATAAGACGTACTGGAGTTCCATGACCTTCATAAGTATGCTTCAGCTCAATACCACGTCTCCAGGCATATACATTATCATTACCATTACATGCTGTGTATATCATATAACTATCGGCAGCTATACACCTAATATCACTGTCATGTTGAGGACTCACTGATAAAAGTTGAAATCTGTCAGTGCTGTAAGTGTGAAACGCTCGACCCACACATGTAACGACTAAATTTTCACGCCTCATTTGAATGTATCGAGTTACTAAAGGAACATCATTGCTAACATAACCTATACAAATAAATATAAAACATTAATAGCAGTAATTTATAAATTAAATATCAGAACAAGCCCCTAGCCAAAATTTACTTTTTACTATACGTTTTTTTAAAACTTGTGAACTATTTGAATAAAATTATTCAGATTTTTTTTTTTTAATAGTATTTTAGATACTTTTGTACAAACGCATTAAATAATGTATTTTAAGTACTTTAAAAAATGTTGATGAAATCACCTCCAAATAAATCGCTTTGATGCAAATTTGTAATGGTAAACACATAACACAACATACATGTGTTAGGACTTACTTTTATAACCCAAATTAATTATAAAAGCAATTTTATAACGAAATTTCAGTGGTGGTTTCTGGTATTAATGGTTTGATGCAAAATCAGATTCTACATGCAAAACTGTATCTGAAAACCATCGGCTTCCAAAATTAGCAGGCGTAAGGAGTTGTTTTATATAATAAAGATTTACTAACTTCAAGCTTTAATACTTAAGAAAACTATATTATTGTTCAATAAAATATTAATATTACATTAATGATAACACTATAATAATAACATAATAATAAAAATAAACAATTGGCAAATAATACTGTAGTAGCACGCACTCGAGGCGCTGACAAATGTATAGTACTACGTATACACCTATTGTTAAACACGCAGAAATATATCAAATTTAAGTAACGATAACTGCGGAAGTAGAGTATCCCTGTGGTCAGGGGAGAAAGAATTCTACCAAGGGCCTCACACCTGGCGTAAAAGGCGACTAAAGTGACATAGAGCCTTCCGATAAATGGCCTTCTAACAGGTCACTTCTTCTTGAGACACACCTTCCCAAGCCCACAATTAGCACCCAGTGCTACTAGTCGGTCCGCGGTCGTAGGGGATCCCTTTAGGGCAAACCATTAAAGCCAAGGAACACCTGCGGAAGTAGAGGAGTCCGCCAAATTCTTACTTTAGAATCATAGTCAACGTAAAAATACTACAAGGTGGTAAAAAAAAATTGCAAAAAGAAAGGGTATCAGGTAAAGTGCATTTGTTCAAAATTTTTTATTCAAATTTATTTGTTATTATTATGTGAATAATTAATAATAATATATCATGATTAGTAATTTTTTGTTTTGAAATTTTAGTCAGTTTGAAATTAGTATACAAGGTGATTAACTCATTTTATGTTTTATGGCAGTTTATCTTATTTAAAACCTTTTTGTTTATGTTATTTTACAATATTATTTCATTATTTTATTTCTTTACTATTTAATATTATAAGCATTTATCTTAACATTTATAATACTTGATTATAGATATAGGCTTGATAATACTATATTCTAACTGTGTTTCCATGCATAATTTTTTTTTTTTACACATAGCTTATATGGTAGGCATTACAAAAGCTTTGCAGCACATTTAAATTTGGTAATAAAAGTCAAGGTGAGAACATAAAAATATAAAATTAAATAGAATCACCTTAAAAATTAAAATTACTGGCATTAATAATATTTTAGCTTCGGTGTGGAGCCGAGAAGGTATTGTTTTTACAATGATGTGTTTTTTTTTTATTTTAACTGCTGTAAACCGCTGAACTGATTTCTTTGTGTAACAACACGAACAACGCCCAAAAAATGTACAAATTTTTCAACTTAAAATTACAGTGCTCTATAACTTTTTTAAAAATATTCGAAAAAGTTTCTAATTTATATGAATTGTTTTTCAAACATAGTACTATCGATAAACATTAACAAACCCCATAAATATCATAAACGCTTTCTCCTAGAAGGTATAGAATTTTTTTCTTTATTTCACTTTTTCAAGCAAAGTTATAGAGATTTAGATCTGAAAATTAAACCGAAGGTAGATCTAAAATGGAACTATAACATATACAATTTTCTCAAAAATCTGTAGTAAAATTTTTTTTTTATTAAGGAAAATCCTCAAAAATAGGGTAAATTTACACTTTGACCGTAGTCAGTTTCTAGGTTGCTATGTGTGAGTGAATCAACAGTCAACAGGTAACGAAAAGATTTTCATTATATTGTTAATTACGATATATGGGTAGCTATGACAATACATATGTTTATAGACAGACGATCAACCCTTATCATATCCACTCTGCACAAGACTAAATATTAAATTTTAAGTACATTATTGTTGGTCCCACGATATCTTCTACACCTATTTAACTGGTTTGAATATACCATCCACAGATTTGCATTGAAGTGTTTATTTAAAAGTGATTTTATCACTTTTAGTTATAATAAGATCTGTAGAACTGTGACCTCTCCGTTACCACTATGCCCCAACCCCACTGTACTGGCTTTTTTTAGTTTAATAGTAAAATGTAAAATTTGGATGGAGCTTGTATTGATAGGTAACCTATTTTATAATGTAAAATACATTTTTCTTTGTCAACAACCATCATACTATAAAACAATGTACTACGACAGCCAACAGGATAAATCATGGATATTTCAAATTTATATTGTAATTTAACTCGTTTCCTTACCTAGAGCCCGGTGAGGAGCGTATACCCTGCTGCCAACATTGACAACCGTCATGTTTTTACCCTGGATTATGAGTATTGAATAAACATGTAAAATATTAAATAAATAAATGTTCACAAACCGAAATGAATCAGTATTGAGTAAACATGTAAAATATTAAATAAATAAATGCCCACAAACCGAGATGTCACATGGCACTGTTGATGAACGCGGCTGTCGCTTGTGTGATAATAACAACACTTTTGATAAAGTCATCTTTAATAAACATGTGCATCACAGAATAACCAGAAGGGAAACTTTTAAAAAATTACTTGGGTTCTTATGTGCTGCCAAAAAAGGCCAACAATCATTTTTTTTTTAACTAGGGTAATAGAACTGATGGACTATACATATTTTCAGAAAAAAAAATTAAAACTGCATGTAAACTTAGTAAATTATTATTAAATAAACCTAATAGATGGGATAATCACAAAGCAAAATGTCGGACACTTATCAGTCCCGGTCTTGTCTTCCCTTCTGGTTATCCTGTGTGTGTGTCTTTGACATATCCAGTTTACAGTTTAACCATAGACATAAAACAAATATACTTATACAAATTTTGTTTTGACAGCCTGCTTTACGAACACATAATATTATACACGATGTAGAGACGATCTTCTCTACATCGTGATATTATACAATGCTCCTCTGAGCACGACACGGAGCCACTCGACAAACAGCCACCCGAAGAGATACCAACATGTACAATATGTATGTAAAATGTACGATTATTATTTGTGTATGTTGTGCGGCCGACACCACGTATTATAACGGAGTAAGAGCAAAAAATGTAATTTCCAAATTGTATATCAATAAAAATAAAAACAGTAACTTTGTAGAAAAAATTATATTTTTATTAAAACCCCTGTTGTATAGTAAACATTGTTACTATGTTCATTATAAACATTTCAATTTACTCAACAGGATTTATTGTTAACTCATGCTATTAATAATAATTATTGTTTCTAAATACTTTTACTCTATTATTATAAATAATAATACATTTTTATATTATTGATACTTATTTATTAATATAATACATAGGTAAAAAAATTATGTATATTGCAACGATATTAATTGAATAATATTGTATCTTGCTTTCATGTATTCCAGTTAAATTACAAATATATTTTAAATATAAAACAAATGAAATTATTAAGCATTGTTTAATTTGTGTGCATTTTCATGAGTATCGGAATGAACGATCCATGTATATATTATATATACAACTAAAAAGTATTTGATAAAGGTTTTTACTTTTTATTGACTTAAAATTAATTATTAAAAACTCAGAAGCAAAGGGTTAAAATTAGATAAATACCGATATAAAAATCCAAAAAAAGTACATTTTTAGATAATTGGCAAATGTGTATATTTTCCACCCATTTAGCTTATGCTATATCCCATAGGCCATCTATATAAATTGGATTTTTTTATCTGATTAATTATTTCTATTTTTACTATCTATATATATGAAAATAAATGTATGTGTGTGTGTCCCTCACAATTTTCATCAGAGTTTGTAGAAAAACAGCATTATATATTTATTTTGTATTAATATGTATTAGGTAGAATCATAAAATATAAATGAATAACCAAATTATAAAAAATTAGTAACATGTATTAGCCCGTAATACTTTATAATATTAGCGGGGCGCAATAAAACATTAATATTTACTGCTAAGTCATCCTCAAGTCTCAACAATGTGCATCGGGCGAGCCAAAAATTGTTCATTGTTCGCTATAGCAAAATCCCAACCAAGTCAAATATTAGCGTAATGAAATTATGTTTGCAAAAAAAAATAAGGACCACGACGGGCAGGGGGTAGGTAGACGAGGAATCCGATGATAATCGAGCGGCTATCGACGGACGAAGTACCCAGCGGGCGCGGGTAGACGTGCGGCGTCGGGCGCGCACGTATGTCGATTTCGGCGAACTTTAAAAGTCTGTAACTTCCAAACTAAGTGCGAGCGGCGCAATTTTTTTACATATTCGTAATCAGCATTAAAAGTACTGTCGATTTAAAAAAAAATCGAAAAAAGGGTGCCCGGTAAAGTAGATTTATACCATAATTATTTGTAATGTTCTACCTATATTTTGTTATTTTTCCAACTATGTTCAAAATTTAAAAACTATAAGCCAAGTGGAAATAATTTAGTAAACATTTTTTATAAACTTGATTATATTAATTTAGTATTTTACTTTAATAATGTACAATTGTTTCTAACTTTAATATTAAAATAACTTGTATGAAATCCGTTGTGTTAATAATATGTACACTATTAGTTTTTATTCAACAAATGATTAATGTTAATATTAATATTATATGTGTATTACTACTGATAATAACTTTTAAAAATAAACTTGTACATAATCATTTTAGAAAATACATTTTTGTCAAAGCTGTTAGAATCGTGGTCAATAATAAAATAAATGTTAATAGTTATATATATTTTATATATATAATTATTATACATAGTTATATAATATATTATATATATTTCAATATAAATTGGATCATAAACTATTAACTATTAACTCCAGCCTTCCCCTTGTATCTGCCCTTGTTTACACATAAACTGGAGTGATCTAGTTTATATATTAGCTGGACATTAGTGATAAGTCTGATGAGTGTATCATATCTAGATCCAAAAGAACCATATCGGTTATTTTAGACCCCAAAAAACTACTGCCGGCTTAATAATATATAAACATTTTATTCAGCATCGGCAAGGCGCCAGTCTACCATAGGTTGTCCCTGTTTGAATTTACTATTGTGTAGCTAAGTATAAAAAGATACTAACAATTAAGCATTGGTAGTGTATATGGAAAAAAAAATGTCAACCACAAAATAAAAAATAGCTGTATATTTCAATAACAAAAAAAACTTATCACAGATGTTATAAAAATAGTGTAGACAGTAGACACAACGCGGTCACACGGTGCGCGTAACACTGTTTTTGTATACTATTATAATTTATAACTTTTAAGGTTCTGTTCAAATAATAAGTGTCAGCTAAAATACGTTTGATGACACTATTTTCGACCTAAATATTTTTCGTAAATATTATATTCGACTTAAATATTATTCGGCTATTAAATTTTCGGTTTCAGAGGCTTTGGTAAAAGATTCACAACAATAAATTTTTTAACGAGGACAGGTCGTTGACCTGTGGCTCAACCCCCAAACCTGGAGGACCGGTCCTTTCCGACCAGTTAAGGTTAGAGAGGAGACTATTGCAGTGCATTATGAGTGCACTGGGCGATGGGCGCGTCACTTTCCCAACGCCGAAAACGAAGCTGTATATAGCCTACCTACGCCCTATTGCGATGTACGCTTGTGAGACCTGGTCGACAACAAGAGGCGATGAACTAAAACTTCTAATATTCGAGAGGAAAATATTAAGAAAGATATATGGTCCCATACTAAAGCCGGAGTCAGGAAGTTATGAAAGAAGAAAAAATGAGGACATTGAAAGCATTTTCAATAAACCTAACATACAAGCATGTCTGAAAGCTAAAAGGCTAGAGTGGGCTGGTCATGTATGGAGGGCAAAGGATAAGCTAATTCATAAAGTACTAATCAATAAACCCAACGGAAAGAGGCCAAGAGAAAGGCCCCGTCAGCGATGGCTCGATAGAGTAAACAAAGATCTGGAAAGCTTGGGAACGACAAAAATTGAAGATGCGGATGATCGGGAACTGTGGTGGGACGTGGTAAAAGCGGCAAAAGGCCTTCAGGGCCTGTAAGCCAAAAAAAAATTTCGGTTAATATATGTTTCGGTTCTAAATTTTTTCGGAATTATTATTTACGGTATATATATAACATGATAACTAATACACAGATATGAAAATATATAATACAAAATTAAATAATATTTAACTATAATTTATTATTGTGTTATTGGAAGTTGTAAAGTATTTAAGTAAATGTGTTTAATTTCATTGTCGGGTATCGAATAGTTTCGTATGAGGTATTCACGATGTATTGTTTTAAATAGATAGGTATAATACATACGTGTTTTGAAAAACATTTTTTTTTTACAAACTTAAGAGACAATTTATTGTTGGTAAATTATCACTATAATATAATATTGTTTCATATACTTTAAGTTTTTTTTTTATATAAATTTCAATAATAAAAACTGATTTGATTATAAATTAAATAAAAAAACTCAAAACTGTATTTTTAACTGTTTCGAAAAGAACTCAACAACGTACTTAAATAAAATGTTATACTTTTTATAAGTCTATGATATACGGCCATTATATCGAGAATATCTGATAAGTCATTATATTTGATAGTGGACTTACAATTTTTTGTTGGATTTAAATTATCATTATTATTATAAGTAAAAGTAAGTCAAACATAAGTTGACATTTAAGAGAAAGAAACTAACACAGGAGACAGGTCACACGGTTACACCGCAAAACGTCGCCCGACAAAACGCCGCCCCTAAAAAGACCGCCTCCCAGTAATGCCAACACTAACAATATGTGTATACAATATACGATTATTAATGGTGCTAGTTGTGCTGCCAGCATGACATATTAATAAGGAGTAAATAGTAATCATCCATCTGATTTGATCATATTAATTTTTAAACATTTATTATTATAGTTAAATGACGATTGTTAATAGCATATACCTGTGCTGTTACAAACATTTTAGGTTATATTTGACTTATAATTTAAAAAATTTAGTACAGGCAAACCGTACATATAATGCCCTAAATTAGAATTCGTCTTGGGCAGCTTTTTCCACTGCATTAACGGTAACCACGCCAAAGCGTTGAACATATATCTCTATGACTCCATATCGACGCTAAAAAAGCAAAAGGTCGTAAACGGCTCAGTGTAAGCTGACTGGATTGGACAGTATTTAAATAATTTTCCATGCAACATAAAAACGTTTTACAGAAATACAGAATATCTGAATATGCTACCGTTTGTGCTTCAAAAAATGAAAGTGTTGAACAAAAGTTACTTTGCATAATGAAGATGGATTATGAAAGTGATAATCAATTATCCGAAACAGTAGGTTTGAATAAATGTAACAAATGATTTGTTCTCTAAAAATCTCTCACTGTAATAGTAATTCTTGTGTCATTCATTGTAAAAGTGAATTATCTCTTTGTAATTGAATTTTGAAACAACGAGCTTTTTGAAAATTAATGTATAGCAAAAAAAAAAA